CTACAGCCTAGCTCTGATCCTCAGTCTCCTGCCTTCCTCCAGACAACCTCTCTTATATCGAGCACATCTTTGAGATCTCCCGCCGTCCTGACCTACTCACTATGGTGGTTGACTACAGAACCCGTGTTCTGAAGATCTCTGAGGAAGATGAGCTGGACACCAAGCTAACCCGTATCCCCAGTGCCAAGAAGTACAAAGGTAAGAGGCCATGCCTTTAATATGTACCTCTGCCCCTCCCATGGATTATCTGTGGAATACTTGAATTCTGGGAGAACAGAGGCTTATGATCAGTTAGCCTGCCTACTGCCTCCCATGACTTCTGTCCCTGGACACATCCCTTTTTGCCCCCAGACATTATCCGGCAGCCCTCTGAGGAAGAGATCATCAAATTGGCTCCTCCACCGAAGAAAGCCTGAGCAAGGGGGAGGAAGAGGAGGAAGGTTGGACCTTCATCAGACCATTCTCTTCCCCCATCCTCCAGGGGAGGGGGCAATGGCATCCCTCCCCCCATCTACCCACTTACTAACCTGGTCCTAACCCCCTTACTGTGCGCGTGTGTGTGCGTGTGCGCACGCTCTGGCTGTCTGTCTATATGTCTAGCTCATCTAGTTCCTCCTCCTTGTGAGGGGATGGGGGTCAGGGGCTGGGGGTGGGGGAGCTCAGTTTCCCCACTCTAGGGGGAGTTGGGGGCTATTTCTTTGCAAATAGAAATGGGCACATTCCTCCTACTTCCCTTTCCTCCACTCTTCCCCCACCTCTCTAAAGTGTGGGAGCAGAAAAGGGCCTGTATTTTCCTACAATGAGGCGGCGAGGTAGGAGTGAGGCATGGGAGAGGTGGGTGAATCTAATGAAAAGCAGTGAGAGGGAAGATGAAGAGGCTACCCAACCCCCACCTGGAACGGGCAAAGAAAAGCCAGAGTTTGTGTTTGTACCCCAAAGCTGGACTGGCTGAGGAGTCCAGTTTCCAGTAGTTCCTCAGGTTGGAGGGCCTGGGCACCAGCAGGTCCCTTTTTGCTCCCTTCTCATGGGCCTACGGTGGGTATGAGCCAGGGACCTAAAGAGAGAGGATCACTGGATCCTTCCCTGGCCCCAAAGTTCAAACCCCATGGAGAACCCAGCATTAGATACCCCCCACTCACCTCTGCTCTGGAGAGACTGTGCTGGGAACATGCCCCATCACTGAGCCTGAGTGGGGATGAAGGCAGAGAGGAGTTCCCTGTTCCACTCCTTTATTCCTACTCAGACTGTTGCACAGGAGTCCCCTGAACCTAGGGAGGTTGGGGAATCGAGATCCTTAGGTTTTAACTCCAATCCTGCTCCCACTTACAGAATCCCAACGTGGTTATCGCAGGCAACCTTCCCTCTCTCCATGATCTAGAACCCCCTCTCCCCCAAGCCAGAAAGAAGGGAAGAAGCTAACTACAGTGTTTTCCGTTGCACGGATCCCCAATTCAGTCCACGAGGGGACCCGGTAACCCCTCTCCCTCAATATCCTGGCACCTTGGGCTTGTGAACGCCTCCTAGCCAAATCACTAGAGTACAGTGACCCCAGCCTCCTGCCTGTTCCAAGATAGCCATCCCCACCCTGACCGTGCTAACTGTGTGTACATATATATTCTACATATATGTATATTAAACCCGCACTGCCATGTCTGCCCTTTTTTGTGGTGTCTGGCATTAACTTATTGTCTAGGCCAGGACGGGGGTGGAAGGGGAATGCCACAGTGAAGGGAGTGGCAGAGTCAAATTGCTACATAGTCAAAACAGAAACTTTTTTAAACTTTAAATTCACATGCAATCTCAAGAGGCTATTTAGAGAAAGTTTAAGCTAGGAGCTTCTAGGATGTGGGAGCAAAACTTTAGTGGAGGGGAGAGCTGGCTACTGGAAGAGGGAAGAAGCCAGACTGGTTGGAGAGCACCCTCTAATCCTAGCCTAGCCCAGCCCAACCTGCCTGTCCCCTCTGGCCACTGCTGCGGACACCTGCCTTAACACATACACCTCGAGTACTCCACAGTTTTGCCTTAAAGGACCTTCCCAAGTTTCCCCAGTCCTGTCTGGCTTCTCCCTCAAGGAGAGAGAGAGATACTTGTAGAATTGGGAGGGGGATAAAGAGCAGGAATTATCCTTCCAAGCCAGGATATGTTATGTGAGAACAAGTCTGAGAGAGAAAGGGGGTGGAAGGAGGGAATATATTATAAAGAGCCTTCCTTTGAAGAGAGAAGAGGATGAGATGGGAGAAGGGAGACAGGGTCATTTTCAGCAGAGTCTAGCAATTTCTCTGTAAGGCAAAATAATCTAAAAAGACTAACCTGCCCTCCCGCCCCCTATACTGCTGTGAGATTGCCCCTATCCTGTGCTCCTCTGTCTGCAGTGTGCACGGCCTTGTTCTAACCCTGGAATAAAGGTGATTGATTGTACTGTACCTAACTGATTCTAAATTTGTGTGAATGACCGGGATTTTTAAGCCTTTGGATGACTGGGGAGGGAGAGCAAAATTTACCCCCAAATCCTTAACTGCAGCCTGAAAGAGGCCAGGAAAATACCCCTAGTAGGATCTCTGCCCTCTCTCATTTTCTAAGTATCACTGAACTGTGGGGCCTATTCCACTTCCACAGTCTCCCACTGGAGCCCAACCACTGGAAACATGGATATCCCAGACTGGACTTCCTAAAATTGTAACAAGACCAGGGCCAGGCACCTATACTGAAAGGAACAAAAATAGCCCATCATGAATGAATGGCTCACATATCACACACACAGCAGCAGTCGGGGGGGGGGGGG